CCGATGATGGAGGAAAGGGCCCAAGGAGGTCAAGCCCCCATTGGGCGAAGGGCCAAGCCGAATCCATTAGGATGAGAGGGACGACTGGCTAGTGATGTAACCGGGTGTGCTTTTGCCACTGTTGGCACTTCTGTGCATATGACTAGGCATCTCGGCGCATGGTTGGCCAATAGTATCCCTATCTGAGGATCTTGAAGGCCAATGTCTGGCCATTGATGTGCTCCCCATATATTCCTTTGTGGAGCTCAACGAGGATCGTCTTGGCCTCTGGTGACGAGAGGTAGTGCATGAGGGGTTGCGAGAAGGTTCTTCGGTACAACTTTCCACCAATCTCGTAATACCAAGCTTGGGCTCATCTTAGTCATTGCGTGACTGTCAGATCATCGAGTTGTGTCCCATTCCTCTTAAAGCGGAGGATTTCCTCCATTCAGCTTAGTGTGATCTTGGTCCTAGCGATGTTGTGGGTCAGCACTATCGGGGCCTTGAGGAATTCGACTATCAGGGCCCCAACCGAGTCACGAGCAGAGGCCTGTCTGGCCAAAGCATCGGCTCGTACGTTCTGTGCATGAGATATCGTTGTAACCGAGAGGAGGTCGAAGCAGCGAGTGAGCCATCTTACTTCCGCCAAGTATAGCGTCATGGTTGGATCTCGAGCCTCGTAGCTTCTGTTGACATGTCCTACCACCAGCTGCGAGTCGCAAAAGGCTTCAAGGTCGTCCACGTGAATTTTCAAGATGAGACGCAGTCCTTGGAGTAACGCCTCGTACTCGGCTTGAGTCCGACCCCTACTCTCTCGGCAGTTGCCGACCTGTCCACATTCAGGGTCCATGTACGCTCGCTGTGTCCCTGTCTAATAGCATCATCCTCAGGGGTTAGTTCGGAGATGAAGTCGACTAATACTTGGGCTTTTATTGCTGTTCTAGGGACGTATTGGATGTCGAATTCGTCGAGCTCGACTGACCATTGCAGTATTCAACCTAATGCATCAAACTTCGAGAGGATTTACTGCAGGGGTTGGTCGGTTATCACCTTGATCGAGTCAGGAGCTTGCATCTCTGTTATGGCCCAAACCTTTTCTGGGTTGGCGTCTATTCCTCTCTGGTGTATGACGAACCTGAGGAACTTCCTTGAATGGACCCCAAAGACACACTTCGAAGGATTCAAGCGCATATTGAACCGCCGGAGGGTCCGGAATGTCTCCGCTAGGTCGGCTAGATATGCACTTGCCGACCTGCTCTTTATGATCATGTCATCTATATGCACCTCCATGTTCCTTCTGAGTTATTGTTTGAACAGCTCATTAACCATTCTTTGGTACGACAACCCGACGTTTTTTAGGCCGAAAGGCATCGCTTTGTACCCCCGCTGTCGGTAATGAAGGCAGTGTGCTCTTGGTCTTGCGGTGCCATCCGAATCTAGTTGTAGCCTGAGAACGCGTCAATGAATGTAAGAAGTTCATAGCCCGCGGTGGCATTTACCAGCTAATCTATCCTCAGGAGTGGATAGCGATCGTTGGGGCATGCTTGGTTGAGATCGATGTAGTCAACACACATCCTTCAACTTCCATTGTATTTCTTTACGAGGACTACATTTGATAACCACCGGGGGTATTTCACCTCGGCTATAAACCCGGCCTCTCTAAGGCAGTCAACCTCGTCACTGATTGTCTTTTGCCGGTCGGGGGCGAACTTCCTAGACTTTTGTCTCACTGGTCGTGCCTCGGGGTGGATGTTGAGGCGGTGCTGGGTCATCCCCGGGTCGATCCCTGGCATATCTTTTGAGGACCATGCGAACACATCGGCATTTCTCTTTAGGAAGTCGATGAGCTGGAGTTTGTTTGCTTTAGGGAGTGTTGTCCCGACTTTCACGATCGTGTTGGGTCGGTCCCTCTTCAAGGGTACCTTGGCGAGTTGTTCAAGTGGCTCCCGGTGCATCGGTGTCAAGGCTTCCCCATTGGGATCCGGGCTTGCTAGGGCCACGACTTCTCTGGAAGAGTCACCGCTGTAAGGTAGCACCGCCTTGATTCTCTCATATCGTTTCGGGATTCCTTGACCCTTGCTGAAGTCAGAAATTTGATGGCCCAGTGGTACGTGGAAACCACTGCTTTCAATTTGTTCAGTGTTGGGCGGCCGAGGATGACGTAGGCCGAGGGAAGGTCGACTACCATGAAGGTAGTCATCGTCATCTTAGCTCTCGGTTCTTCCCCGATGGTAATGGGGAGGATGGTGGTCCCAAGCGGGGAGATGGAATCCCCTGTGAATCCGGTGAGCGCTGACACCATGGGTGTGAGGTCCTCATCAGTTAGACTAAGCTTCTTGAGGCGTCGAGGTATAGTACGTCGGCGGAGCTCCCGATGTCGACCATCACTCTCTTTACCTGGGCATTGGTGATTTGGATGGAGATCACTAAAGCGTCGTCGTGGTGAGATCGTTCGACCTCTTCAGTTTCGAAGGTGATTTTGGGCTCGAACTCGAGTCTGGTGCATTTCTCCACCATTCTATGGGCGTAGGCCTTTCTCACCGTCGAGCTACTACCGCCAGTCGTCGGTCCATCGGTAATGACGTCGATTTGTTTCTCAACTAGACCCCTGGGATGCGGAGATGCTTCTCTTGGCTCCTTGAGGTAGCGCCCGAGGTGATCTCTCAGGATCAACTCTTCAATCTAATTTCGGAGGTCATGGCAGTCTTCCGTATCATGGTCGTAGTCCCGATGGAACCTGCAATATTTAGATCGATCTTTGTGAGTAGCCTTCAAGGGGTTGGGTTGTCACAGGAGGCCTTTCTCCTTGATCTGGAGAAAGATCTCGGTACGAGAAGCATTTAGAGGCAGAGGCAGGGGCCTCAGGAGTAGCTGCTCAGGTCGATCGGGCCTCCTACGGGGCTGCGCTGGTGGCACCGAAGTCATTCCACGAGCTGGCTCCACTCTCAACCTCTTGCTATCCTCATGTCTTCCTGCCATTAGGGCTTCGGAGGTAATATACTGGTTGGTGCGTTGAAGCATCTCGGGGATGGTTGCGGGCGACTTCTCAATCAGTGACTAGAAGAACCTCGAGGGACTCAGGCCCATCAAAAATGCCTACATGATCCAAGAGGGATGGGCGTATGGGAACCCCCAGATTTCAGCGGCAAAGCGCGCCACAAATTGCGAGAGTAATTCATCATCGTGTTGGGACAATGCAAGAAGAATGGCCATGGAAGGCCGGGGTGGTACGCTAGTCAGGAAGTTTTGCCCTAACTCCCTTACGAGCTGATCAAAGGAAGAGATCGAGGATGGCCGTAATCGAGTGAACCATGCCCGTGCCGATCCTCTGAAGGTGGTCGGGAATGCCCGACACATCAGGGCGTCAGAGGTGTCGTAAAGGGTCATTTAAGCCCGAAACGTGGCGACATGTTTCGTGAGGTCAGAGTCGTCATCATATGTTTCTAGCGCCAGGAGTCTGAAGTTGAGCAACAAAGGCATGTCTTGGATTTCCTAGGTGAATGGGGACCCACCCAAGCTGCTTTCACTCGTCTCACCGTGCGACTTGTGGAATTCACACTAGAACTCGTCTAGGTGACGGTTAACCATGGATAGCTGGACCTGGAATGAGTCATTCGTCGAGTCCGATGATAAGGTGTCGGGCTCGGGGAGGGATGTAATGACTCGGTGAGGTGCGGGTGTGCTTTGCTCAGGAAGGCTTCCTAGGGCTGCGGTATGCTCTCGGGCTTCTCCGGTCCCGACTTGCTCCCCGTTCGGCCTTGGCGATGTCGGAGAGGTTGCTAACTGCACCATCTATGGGATAAGCAAGACAATCGTTTGCATCATTCTCATCAAGGTTTGTACCTGCCTGGCCAGGCCAAGGAATGCTACGGGCGAAATAGCCGGGGGTCCTGCAGCATATCCGAGGGGAGAGAGCCCTGGATCATTGAACAAATGCTAGTAGCGAAATCATTGGAGCTGGAATCCCCTCGTCCTTGAGGACAGGGAGGGGCTGATCATTGAGTCCGAAAGGGGGGCAGTCAACTGGTAGCTCTCCCTTGGGGGGAACTCCTACGGGGTGCTCCTGCGACATCAACCCTCCTTCTAGCGCCAAAATGTTGGGGAACTGATGCACTGTGGCCAATGAGTCAACACAGCTTGGTCCACGAGTCGATGTCGGGAGTTTGCGATTGGTTGGGCGAGGCACCGAGGCTGATTACATCTGCAAGTCAGGATGCCGACGTTGTCTGAGGGGAGGTGCCTCTCGGTCAAGACATTGACATCGTCTTCGAGGAGGGCGTCTCTCGGTTAGGGTAGTCGTGCTTCCGGGGGCGGTAGCGCTCCTGCACAGAAGGCCCACGTCGGGAAGTTCCCGACTTTGGCCCCTCTATGATTAAGTTAGTGATTGGCTCTTTCCTTTTTCTTTTTTCCTTCTTCCCTCCCCTGGCCAAATGCCGTCAGGGGCTTTTATACTACCATGCAAGGATCGACTGTATGCGGGTTTGGCACTACGATCGATCCCCGAGGGGCGAGGTGTACCTTCGTGCGACCGTCGTCCCGGAATGCACGGAACAACGCTAGGCGCCGCTGTCCCTAGCTTTCTGGGACGGGACATACCGAGGGGTGCCTCGGCATGGCCTTTAACTCGGCACGTGAGGGTCCACCCTCGTGCTGATGCGGCAGGGACGCTAGTGGTGACGTGGCTGGAGTCCAAAATATACCTTATCACTATCGAACTGCTAAATATTATTTATAATGGACACTGATATAAATTAATAATATATACATATGCAGGGGATGCTTTTCCTGGGCTGCAGAAAATCTTCAAGATTTCAATACTACCATATTTGATCGATATGGAAGTGCTCGGTTGTTGCAGAAATCGACTTTTCCACTGATTAATTTTATGGTGCTATTAGTTCGTGTTATAAGTATTGTCCATGTAGCCAACTTAAGTAAGCTTTCCTAACTAAGCCTAACTCTTTTTTTCTAACAGGTTGGTAACATCTGGACGTTGGCGTTCGAGTGAGGGAAGAGAAGGGATGGGGTTTGCAGAGGTTTTACTCATACTATTTCTGACATTGGGTCCAATGGGTTCAACAGGAGAAGAAAATACATCCACAGACATAACTTTCCCCCTCCCGGCCAACTGCCCAAAAAGATGTGGTAACATTAGCTTCGAGTACCCTTTTGGTATAGGCAGCGGCTGCTATCGTGCAGGTTTTAACCTTACCTGCATAAGCCATTCCACTGATCCTCCTACTCGTAGCCTCTTCTTGGGCGATGGCACCGTTGAGGTCATTGATTTTGATATGGACAATGGAATCGTGTACGTGAAAACTCCAATTGTCACCATGGATGTCGATGAGGAATATATCAACCACACATTGATTGATCTGGGGAACTTCCCCTTCTCTTTTAACTTGGAGGCAAACTTTACTGACAGTTTCACTATTTCATTGGCATATAACGAGATTTTAGTCTTTGGTTGCAGCGCTAATGCTGATCTAGTTGATCTTGCTACCAACAAAACCATTAATACTTGCTCAACTACCTGTTTTGCCAATAGTTCAAGTCCATATGAATACTGGTACTCTTTTGATACAGGATACTGTAGTTTTGACATGTATAATTTGAATGCTGAGAATTTGACTTCCTTGGGGATTCGATTAACTCGTCTCAACCAGACCGAGCATCATTTGTTTAACGCCTCTATCATTAAGGCCTTCTTGTATAGCGAAAGAAATTTTACTAACGAGAATATCGAAGGAATAGTGAACGGGACAAAAACACAAGTAGCTGTTACCACCCTAGCGTATTACATCATTGACCACCCAACATGTAAAGAGGCTAACCAGCATAGGACAACTTACGCTTGCCTCAGTTACAATAGTGATTGCTACGATATCTTTCCTGAGATAATTCATATAAATTATACTATTGGATATATATGTCGGTGTTCATTAAGTTATCAAGGCAATCCCTACATGCCCAATGGCTGCCAAGGTAATGTTCCTTCCTCATCTCACTGTGCATGCTTAAATGTATAAAAAGAAAAGTTGTGTCGCATTAATTCCATTGCTGACGATTTTGATCATCTCAACAGATGCAATATTCACACAATCTCTGCCAAATAACTGTTTAACAAAATGTGGGGATATTAACATCTCCTTTCCATTTGGGTTGGAAGAGGGCTGCTACAGAGACCAGTCATTTTTTCTATCATGCAACTGGACGACTAAGCCTCCCACTCTTCTCTTCCAAGACTACTACATAGTGATGAATATGTCATTGGAGGAAGGGACATTGGAAGTCAAGAGAATATATGATTATGAGTACTTTTCCTTTGCATACGAAAATCAACCTTTCATTGGTTTTGAAGAGCTAATCATCTTGAATTGGATAATCACAGACCAGTCCTGCAAGGATGCTAAGCTGAACACGACCACATTCGCATGTATCGACCAAAACAGCTCATGTAATGATGAGAAAATTAGTCGTCATGGTCAGAAAATTTCGGGATATCGTTGCCAATGTAACAATGGTTACGAAGGAAATCCATATCTCCTAAATGGATGTAGAGGTACTTCCGACTCTTTTACTCTCTCTTTGATATAAAAAATATTAGTTGTATAAGCAGCATCTACTTATAAAATTATCTTTCTGCATTCACATGCTTTTTTTTTCTTTTTGCAATGATATTCTTCAATTTTTGATGAATTGTTAGATATTGATGAGTGTCGCAATCCCCAAAAATATGTTTGCTATGGAACTTGTACTAACACGAACGGCAGTTATAGTTGCACGTGCCCACCTGGGTCGTCCGGTGATCCTACTCAAAAAGCTTGTATCCCTGGCAAAAAGCATACTGTTGTATTGGGTAAGTCCTGGATACCAATTCACACAGTAGAGGGTAAATGCCATCGACAAAGCTAACAAGAGCCAGGGAAAGCTAAAACTTGAGTGTTAACATGCAGGTGTCATCATCGGCGTAAGTAATGGCGTGGGCCTATTGCTATTGAGTGCGAGTTTGATTATCCTAAGGACGAAATGGAAGAAAAGAAAACAAAAGAGGATAAGAGAAAAACACTTCCGTCAGAATCATGGTTTACTGCTACAACAACTCATCTCTTCCCGTGAAGATGTTGCTGAGAGAACAAAGATATTTCCTCTTGAAGAGATAGAAAAGGCAACCAACAATTTTGATGAAACTCGAGTGCTCGGTCGTGGAGGACACGGAACAGTTTACAAAGGGATTCTGTCGGATCAACGCGTAGTCGCCATAAAGAAGTCAAAGATTGTGAAGAAGAGCGAGATAGATCAATTCGTCAATGAGGTTGCAATTCTTTCTCAGATTAATCATAGAAACGTGGTAAAGCTTTTTGGATGCTGCTTGGAGACCGAAGTGCCCTTATTGATCTATGAATTTATCTCAAACGGAGCTCTTTCGGACCATCTCCATACTTCAGATGGTAGTTCTGCATTGTCATGGGAAGCTCGTCTGAGGATCGCTACAGAAACCGCAGGAGCACTTGCTTATTTGCACTCGGCTGCTTCAATATCTATTTTACACAGAGATGTTAAGTCATCGAACATTCTCTTGGATGATCACTTCACAGCAAAAGTATCAGATTTTGGGGCTTCAAGATTTATTCCACTTGATCAAACTCATATAGTTACCGGCATTCAAGGTACCTTTGGATACTTGGATCCAGAGTATTATCAAACAAGTCAATTGACAGAGAAGAGCGATGTTTATAGCTTTGGGGTCATTCTTTTGGAGCTTTTAACAGGAAAGAAACCTATTTTCTCCGTCGAACATGAGAATAAACAGAACCTGTCAATATATTTTCTCCAAGCACTACAAGAGAAGCGCTATTTTGATCTCGTGGAAGATCGTGTTATGAAAGAAGGGACTAAACAAGAACTTATGGAAGTTATTCAACTAGTAGCAACGTGCTTGAAATTTAAAGGAAGCGAAAGGCCTACGATGAAAGAAGTGGAGTATAAACTACAGAACCTAATAAGGATTAGAAAGAATGGAGGACGTCATATTGCAGAAGGTAATGAAGAAACTGAGTACCTATTGAGCGATTCATCTTATACTTTCTCTGATTCAGTTGACCAAGCAACCGAAGGGACATCCAGGAATTATAGCTTAGAAAAAGAATTCATGTGGTCACATTATAACCCACGGTGATTGTGTACTGCACTAATATTTATATTTGTGTGTATTGACAATATAAACCTAACGCATCTTATGTGTGGGTCATTATATGTCATGTGGTGAACACGTGAGAACGTTATGTAGCAAAGGACTGGTATTGTCATCGGTATGCTTGTATCTTATTATATATCTGATCATAATATGTATACAGCTTGTTTGCTTAATGGCCCATGTTAATCTTCCCTTTCTTGAATCTATAGTGTTAATGACAATTATGATGATGATACTTATGAAATGTTGAGTTCTCAAAATCAAGAATCGAAACCATCGGTTTTGGTTCCGATTTGGATGATTTCTATTCCGATTTTAAAAAATATTTTTAAATATAAAAAATCATAAATTTTTAAAATTTAAAAATAGATGTATAACTATAATAGGCAAGGCTGATATAAAAAAATATATAAAATTTTTAATCAAACTAAATAACTCTTCGAAAAAAAATCTTTAATCAAACATAAAACCACTCTCAAGACTCAAACCCACATTCATTGATTTAAATTTAACATTTTAGTCACTATAATATATATATTATATAATTATTTTTAAAAATATTTCAACAGTTTAAAATCGAAATCATCAGTTTGGAATCAAAATCATCGGTTTTAATTTTTTAAATAAAAAATTAAACCCGAACCACGATTCCGATCCAATTTTAATTCCAACTTAATTCGATTTTGATTAGAACAGTAACAGAACCCGGACATGCTCCGACCAACATGAAGTTCATGTTACGAGTGTACATAGAACAGGTCTAATCAACTTTGTTGACCGCTGTACCGTCTTTTGAGTCGTGCCAAGTCATCATCATCTATATCAGCAATCTACCCCTTCGTGAGCATCTGCAAGTCGTCCCTCCAGTAAGTCTCGCTCCTCCATCACAGCTACTGCGGGTTCGATACATCATCTATATCAACAATCGATCTCTCTCTGTGTGGACATCTTTGCAGGCGTCCTTCAAGCCAACAGCCAGAGACGCGAAGGTGAGTGTACTTTGCTCTCCCATTACTCCTGTCTTCTTCACAAGTTTGACATTAAATTTCTTTGCTGCGCTTCTTACTTGCCTATTTGCACTCAGCTGTTTCCAAATCTATTTTAGACGGAGATGTTAAGTCGTTAAACATTTTTTTGGATGATCATTTTATGACAGAAATATCAGATTTTGAAGTCTTAAGATCTATTCCGCTTGGTCAAACTCATATAATCAATGCTACACAAGGTACCTTTGGATACCTAGATCCAGAGTATTATCATACTAATCAATAAACTGAGAAGAGCGATGTTTATAGTTTTAGAGTCATTCTCTTAGCACTTTTAACAGGAAAAAACCTATCGTTTCCATAGAACAAACAGAGTCTATCAATGTATTTTCTTCAGGTAATGAGATAGAGACACTTGTACGAATTCATAAAAGATCTTATTATGAAAGAAATAATCTAAACAAGATTTTATGGAAATCATCAAGATGATAGAAATGTGGTTGAGGTTAAAAAGAATTGAAAGACCTACGAGTACAATTTACAAAACCTGAGAAAAATTAAAAATAGAGGAGCATATAATATTGTAGATGGTGACGAAGAAACCAAGTATCAGCTAAGTGATTGATCTTATGTTTTCTCTAATTCAACTGACCAAGCAATTTAAGAGACATCTAGAAATTATAGCTTAGAGAAGGAATTCATGTAGTCGCCAAATAACCCTCATGTGGGTGATGTTCGGATTCTACTAGTATTCACATTTATATTGACCACTTGAACTCTCTTTCTCTTGTGCCTACTATATAGTGTGTATAATATTTGGGGTCAAGGATCTCACGAAACCCTCATGTTGGTGGCATGATGTTGCAGAATATAGTTCCAAATAATTCCAGGATTGTTATCGACTTGTACTTCCACTGGCAAGTTAAACTATGCCCGATAAATGGTCATACAAGCTATGCTTTACGTGCATCAGATCATGTGTATTGCGCGTTTGCTTAATCTTTCTCTCGTTTGAATGGTCAGATCATGCTCCATTCTCGTTCCACCCTTTAGTTCGCATTCCATTATAGGTATGTATGGTCTCACGTCTTTCCTAACGTTAATAGATAACAGGTTCTGTTCTTTTTTTCTTGGAATTCAGGAATCCCTGTTGGATGTGAATCCGAGGGTAGCAACGGGATGTCGTTTTCTTTGCTTTGAGTTAAGATTTTGTAGTTTTGACAAGCATATTAAAAGATAAAGTTTACTATTTAAAGTCCTTTTTATTATTGATAATTTTTAAAAATAATAAAATATTATTTTACTATTTATGGTTTTGGTAGTATTGATATTTCTTATTCTCCAAAACCCTTTATTTCATCCTATTGATGTCGCTTGATATCGTTCGACCCCACTTATCGCCCCTTAGGAAAAAAAAACAAATTGATACAAAGGAGAATGATAAAGAACAATAAGAAAAGGAAGCAGAAGAGAATATTTATTTTTGTTTACAGAGGATAGTATAAAAATATTTGAAACTTTTAAATAGAATTACAAATAACAAAAAGGGGTTACAAACAATATTCTTCCTTTTAAGGAGAAGATATTACTTTTTAACCTATTCTTACTATTTTATACTCGAGGAATCATGTCAAGGAGTGATGAGCATGCAAGCAGCAAGCAACGTTAGACATGAACAGTAGCAAATAACATAATATTTTATTTTTTTTAAATGATTGTCGAAAGTAAGAAAGATTGTCAATTGTAAAAAAAAGAGGCTATGAACAGTAGCTTCCCTATAAATTGGATTAAAAAAACCGCGGACATACGGTGGTCCTAAACATGGACTGTGCATCCCTGACAAAAAGCATACTCTTTTGTTAGGTATGTGGAACTGTATGATTGAGTAATTGAAATGGAAAACAAAAAAAACAAAAGAAATAAAAGAGAAACTAAACGTCATTGACAAAGCTATGAAACACAAACGGGAAGTTATATGAAGCTAAAACTTGATTATGTGTAGGTTTTTGTGGTTCTAAGAAAGAAATGGAAGGAAAGAAATAAAAGAAAATACGGGTAAAGTACGTCCGTCAAAATTATGGATTACCACTACAACAGTTTATCTATTCCAATGAAAATATTGCACGGAGAACAAAAATATTTTCTGTAGAAGATAAAATCAATTAACAATTTTTATGAGAATCGAATATTCGATGGTGGAGGACATGGAAAAGTTCGAAAGGAATTCTACCGGATCAAGGTGCAGTTGCCATAAAAAATCAAAAATTAAGAAGGAGAATGAGATAAATCAATTCAAAAATAAGATTGTAATTCTTTCTCAAATTATAGCTTGGAGACACATAATTTATATAATTCATGGATACACATCCATGAATTATAGCTTGGAGAAGGAACTCTTGTGGTCACACGATTACCCAAGGTGAGTTTGATCTCCACTCATGCCTATATAATGTTGCAGTGTATTAGATTTGGGTTTAACCATATCATGTAATGCGGTTTTGGGTAATGTTGTGTTTGAAATTTTCATCCCAAATACATTTCAAAGTTCATGTGATACCCACATAGAGTGAGAACAATTTTGCGACGAAAATTTGGTAGGTTAATCTGTGTTCTATTGAAATCGCTGGTAATAAGCTTGTATAAAGTCAATTTTCGTTCGGTATAGCCTTTGTATGTACCACATCATATGCACATTATACATTTGTTTTATCAATACGTACCACATTAGGGAGCGATGCAAAAACTTGGTGGAAGTCAATCCATTGATCTTTTTATTCTCATTTCACATAAGGTGACCCATGGTGATTGATTTGTCTACATGATGTAACGCAAGTAGCAGGACAAGGCCACTTGTAGAACGAAAGGTGAGTCTCTATCTCTTCTATCCAAAGAAGTAGCAATGTTGGATTACATAATTCAAGCACGAGCTCCTGTGGCACAAATGTAGACGGGTGGATGCACAAAGGCCACACCTTCTGAAGCGTGAACGTGATGTTCACGCTAGATAGACTCGTGCTGCTGTTTTGACGACTAATGATCTAATGAGGCGACTTAAACTGATTGTCTTGTTGACTATCTAAGAGACGAGTTGTTGAAATATTACGTTAACATCAATTGGAATTTCTAAGTCACTCATATAAATTTAACATCGTGCTCTTTCCTTTTCTTTCAAGTTCAGGAGGTTGTCAAGAAAGGGCGAGGTCTATAGAGTCAGGGTCCATTTTAATATATCATTTTCTATGTCAAACGAATTATTTGTAATTATCCTCGTTGTGGAAAGTGATGGTCAATTAAGAGAAGCCAATCATAATTTTCTTTCTCTGTAGTTATTGTTTTAAACATTTAAAACGATTATTGAGTAATTCAGCACTCCCTTAGTTTCTAACTCGATGATATTCATCATATATTTTTACCGTTCTATCTTCACATATTGTGCGTAAAGTATATGACACGGTATAACCGTTTAGCACCCATACATATATATAACTATAACTAATTATTCAACCATAGTAATAATGGGTTATTCATTTATTGTTTTCTTTTTCACCATAGCAACGAGATTAACTCATATATAGTTTTGAGTAGGAAGGTAAGTAAAGTAAGATTTCTAAAGCTTTTAAATCTAAATTAATGCAAACTTGAATATAAAGATAGTATCAGCTAACAAGAAGGTGTAAAAAAGTTGTGTGATAGATATATTACTGCTAAATTATGCTTAAGCACCTTAAGTTAATAGTTCATATATAAAGAAGTTAATAGGTTAGTATCTTGTTAGGTTGATTGGTGACAAACAGACATGATGAAAGAATGAAGATTAATTTATAAGAGGCAGATATTAGCTTGGATAGAATAAAAAAACTTCAAAAAAGAAAATACTGTACTCTTATGCTATAAAATGATTCATCTTTGTATCAACCTTACATGTCATATTTCTTGAGTCACTTTTTTTTGTGACAGAGAGGAGGGAGAACTAGTGAGTTAAGTGGAAGTCAGGATAGTTCCTCTTTAAACAAGAAGTAGAGAACAACAACCTAAAGAAAAATCCAAACATAATGTCTCACTCGTAGATGGACCACTAAGCGTAGACCAATAAGAGAAAATATGAAAAGAATAAGCTACCTGAAAATCCACATTTATCCGAGAAAATATATATATATACTTCAAAGATAAAGACATTACTTGACAATCCAACAATAACTTCAACTATACGTAACTGCACCATCAGATTCCATCAAAATGTTGAAATGATCATTGTTTAGCTGTTAGTATATAAGTTAAGTCCTAATTTTTGTCACTAGTAGCGAGATTTTTTTAGAAAGTAATTTCATATCTAAAATGAATTAAGAAATGAATAGTTTAGGATTAGTCCTGCTATCAATATTGGTCCATAAATTAAATAAGTTTTTTATATTACAATCATGATATATTACCCTACTTATGGCTTGACTAATTATTACCTATCCAAATTCGAAGAATAAATTAGAGAACGACTCACATGGAAGTTTCTAAGGATAATTTCTCTTCGAACAAAGGGAGAACAATAACTCAATAGAAAATCCGAACATGATCTCACTTATACATGAACGCTTTAGACAACTACAAGCATAGACCAATAAGAGAAAATTGTGAAAAGTAGAGACTACCTGAAAGAGCATATTTAACTTCAAAGATACAGATATTATTTGACAAGCCAACAATAACTTCAACCATACGATACTTCACTATCCAATTAGTACGTCGAAAAGACCATTGGTTGGCTGTTGGTATATGAGTTAAATCATTATTTTTGTTATTAGTTGTAGGATTTTATTAAAAAGTAATTTTATATCTAAAATAAATTTAAAATGAGTAGTTCAGGATTAGTCCTGTTATCAATATTGGTCTATAAACTAAATAGCATAAGATTTTAGATTACAATCATGCTATATTACCCTAATGATGGTTTGACTAGTTGTTTTTTGTCCAAATTCAAAGAATAAACCACATTGAAATAAGAAGACAAAAGCGAGAATGACTCACATGAAAGTCTCTAAGGATAATTTCTCTTCGAACAAGAAATAATAGCAACCCAATGGAAAATTCAAATATGATATCTCACTTGTACATTGACACTTTAGACGACTACAAGCATAGATTAATAAGAGAAGATGTGAAAAGTATAGGCTAGTTGAAATTTCATATTGTACCATCCGATTAGTACATTAAAATGATCATTGTTAGTATACGAGTTAAATCCCAATTTTTGTTATTAATTAAGAAATGAGTAGTTCAGGATTAGTCATGCTATCAACATTGGTCATAAACTCAATTTTATATCTAAAATAAATTAAGAAATGAGTAGTTCAGGATTAATCATGCTATCAATATTGGTTCGTAAACTAAATAATATAAGTTTTTAGATTACAGTCATGCTATATTACCTTATTGATGACTTGACTAGTTGTTCCCTGTCTAAATCTGAAGAATATTCATACAAGAAGATAGAAACGAGAATGATTGACATGAAAATTTCTAAGTTTCTCTTCAAATGAAAAGATAATGGCAACCAAAGGAAAATCCAAATATGGTATCTCACTTGTATATGGATGCTTTGGATGGCTACAAGCGTAACTAATGAGAGAAAAAATGTGAACGTATAGACTAGCTGAAAATTCACATTTAACTTCAATAATAAAGATATTACTTGATAAGCCAACAATAACTTCAACCATGCTGCACTATCCGATTAATACTTTGAAATGACCCTCGTTTAGTATATGAGTCAAATACCAATTTTTGTTACTAGTTGTGAAGGATACACCACAAAGACTTGATTTTTCAGCATGGAGAAACGTATCATATCGTTGTTCGTGCCCGATGGAACAGCTTCCACAAGTCCAAACAGATAGCAATACCCTCTACAATTCTAGTCAAGTCTGTTCAGTAGTGTAGTTCTAATTATTGCTCTGAAACAAATACTCCGAAGACAACATTTATACTTTTATTCCCCTTCATTCACATGTAACCTTTTAAGTGTTTGTTAGATATTACTTAAACAAGAAGGATTGGGTCTTCGGAAAAAGATATTTTTAAATTTTAATTTTACTTATGTGGTTTTATTATTTTACTCTAAAATTGATTTAAATTTTTTTCCTAAATTATCTGAGGCGTTGTGCTTGCAAATTACTAATCTAAATATTGGTAAGTTCTATATATCTTGGGGCTCAGGTCAAGTTTTTAAGTCAAAATGCATGTTTTGCGTCCTACTTGAAATTTCCACAAGCACAAGAAATTGTTTCCAAGGGAGGACAGATAACAGATAACGCAAGTTAACATCACAAAATATTCTACCGTAGGATTTAGTGCAAAGACTTGGAAGTCAAAGTCCATTGATGTTTTGGAGATGTGATAGTCATGGCATTAATCTTTCTCCTGTTTGAACTGGCATGTCAGATAAAATTAAGAAATCAATTATAATATTTGCAAGAATGGAGACTTTTCTCCTTTTTTTTCTCCTTATATATATTACCACCATATACAAACTCTAAAGAGGGAATGGTTGTGAAGCAGGTGTCATGATAACTTGAATTGATTCTCACCCTGTCATCATGAAATCATTCTCCATTCTCGTTCCACCAATTTATTCGCATTCCATTGTAGGTGCTATTGCACGTTGTACCTAGTTCTGTTCTCTTTTCCTGGAATTCACAAACGCCTGTCGGATGTGAATCCGAAGGCAAACTTGAAACCGAGTAAAGAACCGATTGTTCTTTTGAAAGATCATAGGAGTCAGCAATTGGATGTCATCCGCCATCTTATCAGGTGAGAAACGCACTGTGAATGGTTTAATTTCCAGGTGGGTTATACTCAATCTATCCCAATCAAGCTATTGGCGTCGATGATGGTTTGTATTCACTTTATCCTTGAAAGATATGCAAGCGATGCATCAAACTTCATTTGTCTCAATCACGTACCGTAAAAGGTGAGGCCATATGACCACGACAAGGCCGGTTTTGCACCAATACTTCGTCCGAGGCCCCAACGAAGGAAGACCGGCTTCTCATTGAACCAAATTTATGGCTTTTAAGGGTGTTGTTTACTTTATGAGTACAGTACAAGCTCAGGTCGATACTCAGAAGCCTTCTAAAGTCAGTTGTTTATGCGTGATTAACAATTCCATAATGGTCATAATATACACGAGTAAATTACGCAACACTTAGTCAGTATAGCTATTCAGCAACCACACATATAATTCGAAGTCGACATATTTGCATGCAGTATTGGGTTGTTCATTTTATTTTCTTTTTCACCGTAGCATTGAGATCGACCCGGATATTGTTTTTGTACGATGGACAATGGAATTAGATTTCCCGAGCCTTTGGAAGTGGCAATGATTCCGACCAACTTAGTCGTTTGGAGAAAAAAGATGCATTGCATCATAACTGGTGGCCGATGGAACAGCTCTGACGAGTTCAAAGAGGTAAGCAGTACCCACTAAAAGTCTAGTCAACTTTGTTGATTGGCTTGCCATCTCCATCTGCAAGCGTGGTTAGTTATAACTCCAGCAATTGTTTCGAGCACATCATCTATATCAACGACCTAACTCCCTATTGCAGGTGTCCTTCAAGATAGAGTAACAACCAGAGACGCGAAGGTGAGTGGAATTTGCTCTCCCATTACTCCGGTCTTCTTCACAAGCTTTACATTTAATTTCTTTGTTGCGCTTCTTCGTTTTCCTTAGTAACATCGATGCAAAACGGATGTATATGATCATATAATTTCGATTCTTGTGCTAGAGATCCTCCATATCTTGGGCTACAGCTACAACCTCAGTAGTATCATGATTGGGAATTTTGCATCTGTTAATTATCATACATAGCTTCTCCTGTAGCTGCGTTTTTGGTATTACCGTAGAGTGTTTTATGCCTTGCCCATGTCGCCGATTCAAGTTACTCTCTGACCTGCAGGAATCCCGCTTAATCGAACAGGACTGAGGCAGCTGGAAGAGGGAAACGTTAGAGAGAGAGAGAGAGGATGGGGTGGGTGGAACTGTTGCTGCTGCTTCTGACATTGAGTTCAATGGGTTTAACAAATGCAGAAAGCGCATCGACAAAGGAACCTTTCACTTTACCTTCCAATTGCACAAAAAGATGCGGTAATATCAGCATCGAGTACCCTTTCGGGATAGGCAATGGTTGTTATCGTCCTGGCTTTAATCTTACTTGCACGAACTATACCAACCAACCTCCAAGGCTCTTCTTGGGTGATGGAAAATTCGAGATCACTAGAATCGATTTGGATAATGGGACCGTGAGCGTCATGACACCCATTATCACCATGGGTGTAGATGAGGAGTTCATTAATGTTACTTTAATTGATCTTCAGAATTTGCCTTGCTCTTTAAAATCATTGGATCTGCGGAATTATTACCCAAGATATACATATAATCGTTTGTATGTGTCTGGTTGCAGCGTGGTTGCCGACCTAGTGGATCCCACCACCAATAGGACTATCGGTACTTGCATAACTAGATGCACTTCCAATGACAACAGTCAGTGCAAACTTGATTTATATGATTGGAATAGTACTTCATTGGAGGTTCGATTAACTCGACTCAATCAGAGTGACTTTCATTTGCTTGATGCTTCCATTATCAAAGTTTTCGTGTACGATTATTACAATTCTACCATATATGATCTCCAAAGAATAGTGAAAGGCAGGAGCTCGGAAGTGGAGACTGCCCTATCATGGTACATCAAAGACTATCATACCTGCGAAGAGGCTAAGAAGAATATGAAAACTTATGCCTGCATCAGTCCCAATAGCGACTGTTATGATGTCATTAATTATTATAACTACACTGATTATAATTTTGGGTACTTTTGTCAATGTTCTGTTAATTATCAAGGCAACCCATATCTACCAAATGGCTGTCAAGGTAATATTCCTCCTCATCTCTCTTTGTGTGAGTTCGATTAGATAAACATGATATGCAATAGAAGTGATTAAATATAATACACGCATGATAAGTTTAAATATTCTTCGTGGTTCTCTGTTATGCTTGATACTGGTTTCTCTTTTTTTGACAATCAAACTGGTAAAAGGGATGTTTACTTGTGTAAAGAAATCCATCTTACTATTAAATAAGACTTGTTACATAGTAGAATAGGCTAAATGCTGTAATGGCTTGAATCCCCTGCTCATTAGATAATTAAATGGTACAACATACATTAGATCCCTAGGCCATTTGCCTTATCCATCTCCATAATAACACAGGAGAAAGTCTGGTCTTCGTATCTACAATCCTACGCCTTCGGGATTTTATGATCGCTACTCACTTATTCTCAATGCTTGGCTTACGATTTTGATTTTTTAGATATAAGTCAATCTTACAGCTCCTTTTGGCCATCCGATAACGAAAAACATGGTAAGCTTACGACAACTTCTGCTGCTGACCTGCTTCATCATATCAACAGATACATCTTTTATTCTACAGCCGGTGAATGGCTGTCCAACCAAATGTGGGAGTGTTGACATCCCTTTTCCATTCGGGCTAAACGAAGGGTGTTATAGAGACCAATCATTTGCTCTAACGTGCAACCACACGTCAAATCCTTCCACTCTTCTCTTCCAAGAGGATTACATAGTGCACAGTATATTATTGAAGAAAGGGCAATTAGAAGTTGAGTATAAATACAATGAAGCCGACGGCTATACCTATACAACTACACCTTTCACTTTCGTTGACGAGCAGCCCATTGTTAGTTGGGTCATTGAGAATCAACATTGCAAGGATGCTCAAAGCAATAGGACCACGTTTGCTTGTGTCGATGAACACAGCTTATGTCTGGACATTAACACCACAACAAGCGATGGTCAAAATATCTTGGGGTACCGTTGCAATTGCTCCACAGGTTACGAAGGAAATCCATACCTTAGTAATGGATGTACAGGTACTTGATTCCTTTACCTCTCTCTTAAATGTTAAAAATTAGTCATGCAATTAAATCTACACAATGTTAAAAGCAAAAAAAAAAAAGGCTAGCCATGAAATAGACGCCGAATACTTTCACATTCAGAGACTTCGTTTTTTATCTTATTTGTCCAATTATCCATTCAAAAGTTTTCCTTGTTTCTCATTTATGCACTGATACGTGCCTGTTATTTATTTGCATGATTCCCTAAAAATCCTTCTCAAGAATTGTGCATACCGATATCTTCAGCTACCTTAACTGCATATCTGAATAACGAAATCGAATTTATTACGTGTAAGATGGTGCCAACTTAGTACATGACTCCCTATATATTTTTTTATAGGACAATTTTATCATCCAGAACCTATCAAATTTATACTCCTTGTTCTTCTATGGGGGAGAAATTACTCTGGAAATGCATACAATATTTTTCCTTCTATAAACAGTAACGTTAATTACCAAAGAGTACCATTTCATCGCAAAAATAATTTTGTCATTTGATCACAAAAGCTAATATTTAATCGTCAGTGTGCAGCTCAGAAAAAAATTATGTAAACTGTGTGCATGGTAATTATCATTTAAAAGATCGAGTTCTGAGTTTAACGTGAGATATAGCTACTAACTTTCTTTTTTATGATTTGTCCAGATATCGATGAGTGTAAATTCCCCGACAGATACATCTGCAATGGGGTTTGTAATAACACGATGGGCAGTTATAGCTGCACATGTCCACGAGGGACAACTGGTGATCCTAAACGAGCATGCATCCCCGACAAAAAGCAGACTGTTCTATTGGGTAAGTCCTCCAAACTTATTGGTTTATAAAGATGCAATAGGAATATTAGTACGTCTGATATAAATCAAAGTATATATACAAATGATTGAGCAAATAGAAATAAAGAACCAAAACATGCACAAAAATTAATGTACACAGGCTGCAATGTGAGAATAGAATACTCAATGGTTGGTATCTACAGGTGTCATCATCGGCGTAAGCAATGGCGTGGGCCTATTTCTGTTGAGTACTAGTTTGATCATCCTTAGGAGGAAATGGAAGAAAAGAAAACAAAAGAGAATAAGAGAAAAACACTTCCGTCAGAATCATGGTTTACTGCTACAACAACTAATTTCTTCCCGTGAAGATGTTGCTGAGAGAACAAAGATATTTCCTCTGGAAGAGGTCGAAAAGGCAACCAATAATTTTGATGAAACTCGAGTGATCGGTCGTGGAGGACACGGAACAGTTTACAAAGGGATTCTGTCGGATCAACGCGTAGTCGCCATAAAGAAGTCAAAGATTGTGAAGAAGAGCGAGATAGATCAATTCGTCAATGAGGTTGCAATTCTTTCTCAAATTAATCACAGAAACGTGGTAAAGCTTTTTGGATGCTGCTTGGAGACCGAAGTGCCCTTATTGATCTATGAATTTATCTCAAACGGAGCTCTTTCGGACCATCTCCATACTTCAGATGGTAGTTCTGCATTGTCATGGGAAGCTCGTCTGAGGATCGCTGCAGAAACCGCAGGAGCACTTGCTTATTTGCACTCGGCTGCTTCAATATCTATTTTACACAGGGATGTAAAGTCATCGAATATTCTCTTGGATGATCACTTCACAGCAAAAGTATCAGATTTTGGAGCTTCAAGATTTATTCCACTTGATCAAACTCATATAGTCACCGGTATTCAAGGGACCTTTGGATACTTGGATCCAGAGTATTATCAAACAAGTCAATTGACAGAAAAGAGCGATGTTTATAGCTTTGGGGTCATTCTTCTGGAGCTTTTAACGGGAAAGAAACCTATTTTCTCCATCGAACATGAGAATAAACAGAACCTGTCAATGTATTTTCTCCAAGAACTGAAAGAGAAGCGCTATTTTGATCTCGTGGAGGATCGTGTTATGAAAGAAGGGACTAAACAAGAGCTTATAGAAGTTATTCAACTAGTAGCAACGTGCTTGAAATTTAAAGGAAGTGAAAGGCCTACAATGAAGGAAGTGGAGTATAAACTACAAAGCCTAAGAAGGATTCGAAAGAATGGGGTACGTCATATTGCAGAAGGTAATGAAGAAACTGAGTGTCTACTGAGCGATCCATCTTATACTTTGTCTGATTCAGTTGACCAAGCAACCGAAGGGACATCCAGGAATTATAGCTTAGAAAATGAATTCATGTGGTCACATTATAACCCACGGTGAGTATGCGTTATACTAGTATTTACATTTGTATGTATTGACAACATAACCTAGGTCATTATATCATGTAGTCATCATGTGGAACGTTATGTAGTCAAATAACTAGTATCTTATAAACGCTCATATATGTTATCAGGTATATGTATCTAATCATATTATGTACACAGCTTGTTTGCTTAATGGCCCAGGTTAATTTTTCTCTTGTTTGAATTTATAGTGTTAATGACAGTTATTATGATGCTTCTTATGAGATATTTATTCTAGCAGTTAAATACTACTTTTATAGATATAAGAATGACAATAACTAATGATATGTCACTCATTGATATTGGTTGTTTTTTTCTGATCCACACCAAAGGAGTAGTATCTTTATGATGACTAGTATATTTCAACATCAAAATCAAAATACGAAGAACCTTATTCTTTCTTAGATAACCTTCACGTACACCCATCATAAATCTCATTGATAAGTTATAAATGGATTCAATCGTATATTGCTATCAGGATATATTTTTGTTGCTACAGATACATATTGTATCTTTGATATATTTTGTTCGACTCTCAACAATGCACGAGGATTTTACATCACCGGCATATGAGACAAAAACGGATACACACGATGGCATTGATTAGACTCGAGAAAAGCGAAAAAATAGGACCCATTACTTTTATTAGTTTGACATCCGACTCTTTTCTTCACCACAAACGAATTAAATATTAGTCATGTTAAAATTAGTTAAAATTGTTAATTAGTTAATTAGTTAAAATTGTCATGTTATTGTTAACTGTAATGGCACCAATTTCCCATATTGAGGTCAAATTCACGACCTGCTTTTAAAGAAGGAGACTCTGTTCCACGAAAAATTGTAACGGACCAACTTCTATAATAGAGAGTTTTAATAGTAGATGCCAACTTTGCCAATTTAAGGAAGCCAAGCATCAATATATATTCACACACAATGGGACAGATCTGACCAGATCGATTCGTGATTCCGGAATCATCGGTTTTGATTTCTCGAAATTAGAAATCAGAACCATCGGTTTTGGTTCTGATTCGGACTATTTTGGTTCCGATTCTAACCTTAAAATTTTTAATTAAAAATAATTTAAAATATAAAAATAATAATTTTCTTTCTAAAATTTAAAAAAAAATATGAATAACTATAATAGGCAAGGCTGTTATAAAAAAAATTATAAAATTTTTAATCCAACTAAATAGCTCTTTTCAAAGAAAATCTTTAATCAAACATAAAGTCGTTCTGAAACTCATATATTAAATATTTTAGCCACTATACTATATATAATATATAATTATTTTTGAAAATATTTAAACGGTTTGAAATCGAAATAGTTGATTTGGAACCCAAATCATCGATCTTAATTTTCCAAAATCAGAAATCAAAATCGAACCACCTAAATTCGATTTCGATTCAATAATAATTCTAATATTTCGATTCGAATAGAACCCAGACAAGCTCCGACCAACATGAAGTTCATGTTACGAATGTACATAGGACAAGTCAAATCAACTTAACCGCTGTGCCATCTGAGTTCATATTACAAGTCTCTCTCTCCTCCATCACATCTGCCGCAGGTCCCAGACATCAACTGTATCATCAATTCTCTCTCTCTCTCTCTCAGTGTACACCCCTGCTGGCGTTCTTCAAGCCAGAGCAACAGCCAGAGACGCGAAGGTGAGAGGAATTGCTCTCCCATTACTCCTGTCTTCTTCACAAGTTTGACATTTAATTTCTTTGCTGCGCTTCTTTCTTTTACTTGACAACATCACTCATACAGCACTTGCCTATTTGCACCTTAGCTATTTCCATATCTATTTTACACGTTAAGCCGTCGAGCATGCTTTTGGGTGATCATCTCATGACAGAAGTATCATATTTTGGAGTCTCAAGAATAAATAGAACCTATCTTTCCAAAGAATAAACAGAATCTATTTTCTTCAGGCAATGAGAGAGACACTTGTACAAACTGATAGAAGATCTTATAATAAAAGAAGGGATCAAACAAAGTAATCTTCTTTTTAAGAGAGGATATTACTATTTGTAACTCATTTTTTATTATTTATAATTTTATTTTAAATTTTTTAATATTTTAAAATTATCTCACAAATAGATATAAATATCATCATCTTCTTTCTTCTCCTTAAAAAAATGATATTGAGATCGAGTAGAGTCGTCGGCAAGCGGTAGCAATAAGTAATGTTGATTGCGATGATGAAATAAGTGATTGTGAGAAGAAAAAAATAAAAATAAAATAAAATGATAATACAAGGATGGTTAATAATAAAATAATATTTTATTATTTTTTAAATGATTGCCCATAGTAAGGAGATTGTCAATTCAAAGAGGAGGTTATGAATAGTAGCTTCCCTAAAAATTGGATTCGAAAGTTAAATCCCGATGTTAGACATAACTTTTAATCTTTTGATGGTCTGTTAGACATCAATGAATGCAGCTTTCTTGAGAAATATGTTTGGCATAGGATTTGTGCTAATACGAACGGCAGCTAGAATTGCGTGCGCATGTAAACTCTTTTGTTAGGTACGTGGAACTGCATGATTGAGCAATTGAAATGGAAAAAAAGCAAAAGAAATAGAAAAGAAACTAAACGTCATTGACAAAGCTATGAAACACAAACGGGAAGTTATATGAAGCTAAAACTTGATTGGTACTGCGCAGGTGTTATCATCGGTGCAAGGAATGGCACGGGGCTGCTACTGTTATATATAGGTTTTTGTGGTTCTAAGAAAGAAATGGAAGAAAAGAAATCAAAAGAAAATAAGGGTAAAGTACGTCCGTCAAAATTATGGATTACCACTACAATAGTTAATCTAATCCATTGAAAATATTGCATGGAGAACAACAAAAATATTTCTTTAGAAGATAGAAATCAATTAACATTTTTTTATGAGAATCGAATACTCGATGGTGGAGGACATGGAGCAGTTCAAAAGGAATTATACCGGATCAAGGTGTAGTTGCCATAAAAAATCAAAAATTAAGAAGAAGAGTGAGATAAATCAATTCTAAATAAGGTTGTAATTCTGTCTCAAATTATAGCTTGGAGATGGAACTCTTGTGGTCACACAATTATCCAAGGTGAGTCTGTATCCGATAAATATTCATGTTTTGTTGATCATTTGATCTCCACGTTTGCCTATATAATGTTGCAGTGTATCATCTTTGGGTTTAATGATATAATGTAATGCTGTTTTGGGTAATGTTGTGTTTGAAATTTTCATTCCAAATACATTTCAAAGATCATGTGAGAGCCACATAGAATGAGAACATTTTTGGGACAGAAACATGGTAGGTTAATCTGTATTCTATTGAAATCGGCCACACCTTCTGCAAAGGGGTGGATTCACTAGGGCCACACCTTCTGTAGCGTGAACGTATTGTTCACGTTAGATAAACTCGTTCTGCTGCATTGACCACTAATGATCTAATGAGGAGGGCTTAAACTGACTGCCTTGTTGACTTTCTAAGAGACGAGTTGTTGAAATATCAATTTAAAATCATGCTCTTTCCTTTTCTTTCAAGTTCAGGAGGTTGTCAAGAAAGGGCGAAGTCTACAGAGTCAGGATCCATTTTAATACATCATTTTTTATGTCAAATGAATTATTTCAAAACTATGTGATTATCTTCTTTGTGGAAAATGATGGTCAGTTAAGAGGAGCCAACCATAATTTCTTTTCTCTCTAACCTTTGTAGTTATTGTTTTAAACATTTGACACTATTATTAAGTACTTGAGCACTCCATTAGTTTCTAATTTTGATGATCTTCAACATATGATTTTGACGTTTCATTTTCATATACCGTTCGTAAAATATGTGACACGGTTTAGTCGTTTAGCACCCATACATAAAACTGGCAATTCATTTTCAATAATCATGGGTCATTCATTCATTATTTTCTTTTTCACCATAGCATCAAGATTAACTCATATATATAGTTAGTCGTATGAAGGTAAGTTAGATTTCTCAAGCCTTTGAATCTGAATTAATATAAACTTGAATACAAAGATAGTATCAGCTAACAAAAAAGGTGTAAAAAATTATGTATATATATATATATATATATATATATATATATATATATATATATTACTGCTAAATTATGCTTAAGTACCTTGAGTTAATAGTTCAAATATAAAGAATTTAATATATTAGTTATCTATCAGGTCGATTCGTGACAATGGCACATGATGAAAGATTAAGAGACAAAAAAAAATTAAAGGATTAATTTTTATGAGATAGATATTAGCTTGGGTAAATTAAAAAAACTTCAAAAAAAATGCTGCACTCTTGTGCTATAAAATGTATCGTCTTCATATCAGCCTTACCTATCAAATTCCTCGAGTCACTTCTTTTGGTGACAAAGAGGAGCGAGAACAAGTTATGTAGAACAGCAACCTAATGAAAAATTTATGATTCCCACTCATAAATGGACTATAAGCGTCGATAGATGAGAAAATAAAGAAAAGAAAAGTATAAGCTACCCGAAAGTTCATATTTATCGTTGAAAAATTATATATACACTTCAAAGATAAAGACATTTCTTGACAATCCAACAATAACTTCAACTATACGATACTGCACCATCATATTTGGACGTTGAAATGACCATTGTTTGGCTTTTAGTGTACGAGTTAAATCCCTATTTCTGTTACTATTCGTGGGATTCTATGAGAAAGTAATTTCATATCTAAAAGAAATTAAGAAATTAGTAGTTTAGGATTAGTCCCGCTATCAACATTGCTTCATAAACTAAATAACATAAGTTTTTAGATTACAATCATGATATATTACCCAAAATAAATCATAGTGTAATAAGAAGATAGAAGTGAGAACGACTTATGTGAAAATCTCTAAATTAGTTTCTCTTCGAACGAAGAGATACCAATAATCCGATAGAAAATCCAAACATGATGTCTCACTCATAGATGGAAGCTTTAGACGACTATCACTGTAGGCTAATAAGAGAAAATATGAAAAGTATATGCTAACCTTAAAGTCTATATTTAACTTCAAAGATAAAACATTACTTCACAAGCCATAATAACTTCAATAAGTCGAAATAGATAATCTACAATTCTAGTCAGGTCTGTTCTGTAGTGTAATTCTAATTATTACTCTGAAACAAATACTCGGAAGACAACATTTATATTTTTATTCCCCTTCTTTCCCAATTAATCTTTGAAGTGTTGGTTAGATATTACTTAAACAAGAAGGGTTGGGTCTTCAGAAAAAAAATATTTTAAAATTCTAATTTTACTTATGTGGTTTTATTATTTTACTCTAATATTGATTTAAATTGTTTTCCTAAATTATCTAAGGCGTTGTGCTTGCAAATTATTAATCTAAATATTGGTATGTTCTATTTATTTTAGGGCTCAAGTCAAGTTTTAAAGTAAAAATGCATGTTTTTGCCTCCTATTTGAAATTTCCACGAGCACAAGGATTTTTTTTTCAAGGGAGGACAGATAACACAAGTTAGCATCACAACATATTCTACCATAGGACTTAGTGTAAAGACTTGGAAGTTAAGGTCCATTGTCGTTTTGGAGATGTGATAGTCATGGCATTAATCTTTCTCCTGTTTGAACTGACATGTCAGATAAAATAAAGAAATCAATTATATTATTTGCAAGAATGGAGACTTTTCAATTATTTTTTATCCTTATATATATTACCACCATATACAAACTCTAAATAGGGGATGGTTGTGAAGCAGGTGTGATGACAACTTAAATTGATCCTCACCCTGTCATCTTGAAATCATGCTCCATTCTCGTTCCACCCATTTATTCGCATTCCATTGTAGGTGCTGTTGCACGTTGTACCTAATTCTGTTCTCTTTTCCTGGAATTCACAAATGCCTGTTGGATGTGAATCCGAAGGCAAACTTGAAACCGAGTAAAGAACCGATTGTTCTTTTGAAAGATCATAGGAGGCAGCAATTGGATGTCATCGACCATCTTATCAGGTGAGAAACGGAATGAGAATGGTTTAATTTCCAGGTGGGTTTTTCTCAATCTATCCCAATCAAGCTATTGGCGTCGATGATGGGTTGTATTGACTTTATCGTTGAAAGATATGCAAGCGATTCATCAAACTTCAGTTGTCTCAATCACGTAATGTAAAAGGTGAGGCCATATGACCACGACAATGCCGGTTTTACAACAATACTTAAGCCGAGCCACCAACGAAGGAAGACTGGCTTCTCATTGAACCAAATTTATGGCTTATAAGGGTGTTGTTGACTTTATGAGTCAAGCACAATCTCAGGTCGATACCCAGAAGTAGACATATTTGCATGCAATAGCGGGTTGTTTTGTACGATGGACAATAGAAATAGATTTTGCGAGCCTTTGGAAGTGGCAATGATTCCGACCAGCTTAGTCGTTTGGAAAATAAAAACATGCATTGCATCATAATTGGTGGCCGATGGAACAGTTCTGACGAGTTCAAAGACGTAGCAGTACACACTACAAGTCTATTCAACTTTGTTGATTGTCATGACATCTCCATCGGAAAGTGTGGTTAATTATAACTCCAGCAATTGTTTCTAGCACATCATCTATATCAACGGCCTAACTCCCTATTGCAGGTGTCCTTCAAGATAGAGCAACAACCAGAGACGCGAAGGTGAGTGGAATTTGCTCTCCCATTACTCCGGTCTTCACATGCTTGACATTTAATTTCTTTGCTGCGCTTCTTGGTTTTCCTTGGTAACATCGATGCAAAACGGATGTATATGATCATATAAATTTGATTCTTGTGCTAGAGATCCTCCATATCTTGGGCTATAGCTAGAAATATGCAGACAACCTCAGTCGTTTCTTTGCAGTAGGCTGCAGCGAATGACTACGACTGAGGGGCGGAGGCGTCGCCACGAGAGGGATGGTTGGACTCCGGAGAAGAGGGCTTGCTCTAGGCAAACTTCTCTGATACCATGATAGAAATTAAGCGAAGAAGATAGAAAGATAGAAATTGTAGAAGAAACTATGAAATGTATAAGATATAATTGCCTAATACATTTTGATAGTGAGTTCTTGACAGTCATTTATACACAGTCAGTAGGGAGGTTATACACATTCAGCATGGAGGATTTTTCTCAACTGCTGAGATATTTCCTCAACTGTCTTGAGGAAATCTTATCTGCTTATCAGTATCATGCTTGGCAATTTAGCTACTGTTAATTATCATACATACATGCATAGTTTCTCCTGTAGCTGGGCTTATTGTGTTACCGTAGAGTGTTCTATGTATTGCCCAAGGTGCTCTCCCATCACTCCTGTCTTCTTCGCAAGCTTGACATTTGATTTCTCTGCTCCGCTTCTTGGTTTTTTCACTGCACACGAATGTATATGATCAGATGAATTCTCTTATGCTAGATATACTCCATATCCTGCTATAGAAATATGCAGACAACCTCAGTGTTATCATGCTTGGGAATTTTGCTACTGTTAATTATCGGACATACATAGCTTCTCCTGTAGCTGCGTTTATGGTGTTACCGTAGAGTGTTTTATGTATTGCTCATGTCACCGATTCAAGCAACTTCTGACCTGCACCATTCATCATTTATCAAATAGGACTGAGGCAGCTGGAAGAGGGCAAGGTTAGTCCGAGAGAGAGAGAGAGAGAGAGAGAAGGGATGGGATGGGTGGAGCTGTTGCTGCTGCCGCTGACATTGAGTTTATTGGGTTCAACAAAAGTGGAAAGTGCATCCACAGAGAAACATTTCACTTTACCTTCCAACTGCACGAACAGATGCGGTAACATCAGTATTGAGTATCCTTTCGGCATAGGCCATGGCTGTTATCTACCGGGATTTAATCTTACTTGCACGAACTATACCGACCAACCTCCAAGGCTCTCCTTGGGCGATGGAATCCTCGAGGTCACTAGAATCGATTTGGATACTGGGACTGTGCGCGTCAAGACACCCATTGTCACCTTGAGTGTAGCTGAGGAGTTCATTGCTGCTCCATTAATTGATCTTCAGGATTGGCCTTACTCTTTAACATCATTGGAACAAGAAATACAGAATTTTTACACAATAGATACATATAATCGTTTGTATGTGTCTGGTTGCAGCGTCGTTGCCGACCTAGTGGATCCCACTACTAATAAGACTATCGGTACTTGCATAACTAGATGCACTTCCACTGACAACAGGCAGTGCTCACTTAGTTTATATTATTGGAATAGTACTTCATTGGAGGTTCGATTAACTCGACTCAATCAGAGTGACCTTCATTTGCTTAATGCTTCCAGTATCAAAGTTTTCGTGTACGATGGTTACAATGCTACCAAAGATGATCTCCAAGGAATAGTGCAAGGCAGGGGCTCAGAAGTGGAGACTGCCCTATCATGGTACATCAAAGACTATCCTACCTGTGAAGAGGCCAAGAAGAATATGGAAACTTTTGCCTGCAGCAATCCCAATAGCGACTGCTATGACCTCCTTAATTATGGCTACACGAATTATAATATTGGATACATATGTCGATGTTCTCTTAACTATAAAGGCAATCCATACCTAGCCAATGGTTGTGAAGGTAATATTCCACCTCATCTCAGTTTTGTGTGAGTTTGATTAGATAAGCATGAAGTGCAACAAGTGATAGATATTATTTCAGACATGTTAATTTTCTTTTTATAGGTTAAACATTGTCAAAGAATCATGGTTTTCGGTTATGATTGATTAACGATAACTTTGATCGGTCAAACAATAGTGTGTAATTCATATGATTGTTTGAATCAAATGGCATGCACATTAGATAATAAAATGGTATAACATACATGAGACCCAGATTTTCTCGACAAAGGGCATTTACATATTTCTAATCATATTTGATTTTTTTATCAAACATATAAAAAGGAAACAACTTTAGTTTTCTCAAACCTATTGAATGTGACCCTTTCAGATAAATCTCTCAATGTAAGATTTTAAAACCCACATTCTAAAATGTATTGAGTGTATTTTGTGTATTAATATTTTAGTGGGGCTATACCGTTGTACTCGTATATTTCTTTTAAAATCAATAGCAAAAGATAAAACTAAAAACAATCGTAGTTTACCAGTTATATAACCTTGGTAATTTGCCTTATCCATCTCTACTTCTTAGATTGTATGATTATGTTTAATTGAATAAGATATATTACAGTTTCAATTAAATTTTGATTATGATTATAAAGAATGCTCACTTATAATAAGATATCTTAGAAGATATCTTGATGATAAAGATTCTCCTAATTATTTTTTTTAGATTTTCATCTATTTATTGATAAGATCTCTTAGAAATGTGGACGAGGATGACGATGCTGATGAATAGAGATCTATTCTCTATCCCTTTTTATAAATACGACCTTAAAAATGTGAGTCTAACTTTTACATATCAATGTTATTGTTGTTTCCTTGAATCATGAAAGATATTCTAAAATAGCATCCAAAGAAATACAAATCTAAACTTCATCTATCGTTATTTAATCTTGATCTTTGCATTAGATTATTTTATTCTTACAATAAAAACACAAGAAAATGGCCTGGTTGTCATGACTACAATCTTGTAGCTTTGAGCTCTTATGATCGTTACTCACTCATTTATAATACTTGGGCTTACAATTCTGCATCTTCAAACATATGCTCTCTCGGTGGATGCTGATTTTTAAGATATAAATCATTTGTACAGCTCGTTTTAAAGCAATCCGAAAAAGAGAAAACACGGTAGGCTTATGGCGATTTCTGCTGCTGACCTGTTTGTTCATATCAACAGATGCATCTTTAACTTTGGTTCCGAGCAAAGGCTGTCGAGCAAAATGTGGGGGTGTTAACATCTCTTTTCCATTCGGGCTAAGCAAGGGTTGTTTCAGAAGCCAGTCATTTGCTCTAACATGCAACACGACATTCAATCCTCCTATTCTGTTCTTCATGGGCAATTACATGGTGCGTAATATCTCATTGGAGGAAGGACAATTGGAATTCAGTGCACCAAACAGAACAACAGACAGTTCTTACATTGATGACAACTACTACTACTTCGATGAAACTGGACCTTTCACGCCACTGGAACAGCTGTCGACCTTTAGTTGGGTGATTGAGTCTAAGAATTGCGAGGAAGCCAAAACGAACATGACCACATTCGCATGTGTCGACAAAAACAGTTCGTGTGTGGACGTTCCCAAAACTTCTACCAAAGATATCCAGGGATATCGTTGCAAATGCCAGAATGGTTATCAAGGAAATCCATATATTGCCGATGGATGCAAAGGTACTCAAATGCCAAATCCTCTCTCTCTCTCTCTTGGATACAACAGGACCACTTCTCAAAATGTTGAAAAGCAAAACACACGTCAAACATTAACCTTCCAAAGTTTTCTTCCTCATAAGTACAACGATAGATGTTATTTGCAAAATTCCCTAAATATCCTTGTCGATCTTTGCATATACCGGTCCTTAAGCTATTTTAACTGCATGTTCTCCATAACATATTAGAACTAATACATGTAAGATGGTGTCAACTAAATTTACATGCTAGAATTAACTTCACTACGCGAGATTTTAAGGATGATCGCACCTTCCAGAGCCTGTCAAGTTTACACTATTTGTTCTTCTATTTGATAAAAGGACTCCTGAAATGCTCAGAATCTTCTTCCTTCTGTAGAAAGTAATATTAATTAGGAATGAATACCGTGCATCACAAAACTAATTTTATCAATATTGATGTTAAAAATGGAAACTAAATTGTCAATGCGCATGTCTTTTGTGCTCTAACCGACTAAGTTTTTTTTGTACTTCACATATTTTGTTAATATATTCTGCTTTAAAAAAAAAACAAATTGTCAATGTGCACCTCATAAAATTTTATTATGTAATAAACTATGTGACTAAACCTTTGCTGCTAATCATTTTTTTATTTCTGACACAATATATATATTGCAATTTGGGTTCTGAAGTTAACGTGATATAACACTACCAATTTTTTGATGGTTTCTTAGATATTGACGAGTGCAGCGGTCCCAACAATAACGTTTGCAATGGGATATGCAGAAATACGATTGGTGGTTATGAGTGCCTTCCTGACAAAAAACAGACTGTTTTGTTAGGTAAGTTCTCGAAACTTATTTGCTTACAAAAATCCAAAATGAATATTACCATGTTTGACATAAATAAAAAAGTGCATAAATACCTATGATTGATTAGATAGAAAAAAAAAACACAAAAAATTGCTTGAATATTGAAGTACACAATCTGCAATGTGAGAACAAAAAGGAAATACTTGTGAAGCTAAAACTTGGGTGGTATTGTGCAGGTGTCATAATCGGTGTAAGTCTTGGCAGTGGCTTATTGCTCTTAAGCATAAGTTTTATCATCCTAAGAAGGAAATGGAAGATCAGAAAGCAAAAGAAAATAAGAGAAAGACACTTCCACCAAAATCATGGACTACTATTACAACAGTTAATCTCTTCTGACGAAGACGTTGATGAGAGAACAAAGATATTTTCTCTAGAAGAGATAGAAAAGGCAACCAACAATTTTGATGAAACTCGAGTACTCGGTCGCGGAGGACATGGCACAGTTTATAAAGGGATTTTATCAGATCAACGTGTAGTCGCCATAAAGAAATCTAAAATAGTCAAAAAGAGTGAGATAGATCAATTCATCAATGAGGTTGCAATTCTTTCTCAAATTAAACATAGAAACATCGTCAGGCTTTTTGGATGTTGTTTAGAAACAGAAGTCCCCTTGTTAGTCTATGAATTTATCTCCAACGGGACCCTTGCAGACCACCTCCATGTTTCAGATGGTAATTCTGTATTATCATGGGAAGCTCGCCTGAGGATCGCTGCAGAAACTGCCGGAGCACTTGCCTATCTGCACTCGGCAGCTTCAATATCAATTTTACATAGGGATGTTAAGTCATCAAATATTCTTTTGGATGATCATTTCAGGGCAAAAGTATCGGATTTTGGAGCCTCAAGATTTATCCCACTTGATGAAACTCATATAACTACTGTTATCCAAGGCACCTTTGGATACTTGGATCCAGAATATTACCAGACTAGTCAATTGACGGAGAAAAGTGATGTTTATAGCTTTGGGGTTATTCTTCTGGAGCTTCTGACAGGAAAGAAACCTGTTTTCTCCATTGAGCATGAGAATAGGCAAAACCTATCAATGTATTTTCTTCAAGCAATGAGAGAGAAGCATTCTTTTGATCTCGTGGAAGAACGTATCATGAAAGAAGGAACTAAACAAGAGCTTCTGG